TCTTGTGCAAGGGAGGTCTGCAGATGGCCTGAAGACGAAGTGGGCAGAAGTTAGTGATAGGCTAGTTAGCTGTTAGTGGCCATGCGCCATAGCCATAGACAGTTAGTGAGTGTGTATGTGTGTGTGCAGTGGTTGGCGTGCATGGTATCCAGGGTGATCCGGAGTCGAGTTGCGTGTGAACTCTGAGTCGAACGTGTAAGTGAGGGCGCCCAGCGCCATAGCCAACTGAAGTGAACTTGGATTTGAGTTGAGTTGCAAGCTACCATGTCTCCGAGTTCGAGTTGGGTGCACAGCGCCAAGTTATTCTCATCTGTTGCATGCATGTTTGAGTGTGAATTTGCAAGACTGATTTCAGTCATAAACATCGGCATGAAAAACAAGGGTGTCTATTAAGTCTTCACCATACTTACCAACATGATGTATTCTCTCTCTGTTTGTGAATTCCTTTGTTTTGGTCGTAGCATTCTGCCTCTTTGCATTGAGTGCAAACCGAAGTAGATGACACATGTCATCATAACCAATAAACTTAGGGAATGGATGATTTGCAAAAAGGGTCAGCAAATAATGATACACCTGCAGAAATCGGACAATAATATACAAAATCAGAAAATGGACGAACACTGGTTAGAAAAAACAAAAGGTAGTAAAATTTGTAAGGGCTATTGCTGAAAAATAATTGTTTATTTTTTCTTTTAAGGTAATGTTTCTTAATAAGTTAATAACATATATATAAAATTTTCTTCGCGACCTTCTTGGGCCTTTAATCGTCAAGATGTGACGGCCCATGGAGGATGCAGCGCTGTTTCAATTTGATGGTAGGCTAGACTGGTCGCTTCAAAGCAGACTCACAAACTGGAAACAACAGTCATGTTGTCAACACGCTAACACACAAGACAATAAAAAACTCAACAAGTGACATAGGCTAGAGCGTTCGCACTGCCTATTGAGTCAGGGAGACATTCCGACAAACATCACTTCTCAACTGTGGGAAACACGGACGTCCTGAACTCAGGAGCCTCCCTATTAGAGTTGTAGGCACTGGAAATGAGGTATAACCGACTATTTGGCACTACTTAAATGTTCTCCGCTAAGCATATCAAAGGTACTTACAAAAATATAAAGAAGATAAAAAAAAAAAATGTAAGGAAAGAACACGAAAAAAAGAAAATCCAGCAGCCTAAGTCAGTTGGTTAGGCACGCAAGTGGTATTCAGGAGGTTGTGGGTTCAAGTCCCATGAACGCCTGCGGCACACTTAGTGCCAACGGACCGTGATAGTCCTCTGGATACCCCTGATTGGTATTAGCAGAGTCTATGACCAACACGGGTGCGAGAGCGAGTGGGTTGTGTGTGGTGTGTGGGAGAGTGTTGGCCATAGCCTTTGCTGCTACTTGATGAGGGGTGGGGGATGATGAGAAAGGGAGGTGCAGCTACTGGCAAAATGCTCGGTCTTTGCGTTAGCTGGACCCCCACCGGCGACCCCAACCCTGCACCCTTAACCACTAGGGCAAGGGGCAAGGTGCAATATCCCCTTCACAGTGAGAGGTAGCTATGCTTACAGGGGACTCCTCTACATAGCCGTAGGAGTAGGTAGGTAGTGAAAGATGATGAAAAAAAGATTTGAGAGAAGAATATAGCGTATTTTTTAATAAAAGAGAGAAAAAAAGAAAAACAGGAAAAAAACCCAAAAAAGAAAGACATACATAAAAAAATTGATTGATTGTATATGTGTGTGTTTTTGTGTATATGTGTGGGTAGTACTCGGTACGTGTGTGTGTGTGTTTGACCCACCCAATGGCCCTCCATGACGAAGGCCGCATGGACAGGTATCCAGGGGTATTAGGCCATTCAGCCTTGCAGCCCATGGAAACTACACACACAAGCAGACAAACACCTACAGGTCATTTTCAAGCTCTCAATTATGGAGCCTAAAACGAAGGACAAATCACACAAGGACAATAGCATCAACGTTAAACCACCAGTACTTGGCCCATACATCGACCGCGGGCCCTTAGCGTTGACGCTACGCAAATTCCGGGGCTCGGGGGAGGGTTGGAAGAGCGATGGGGGAGGAAGTTGTTGGGCCCAGGGAAAGTTGCGAATGGACTGCAAGTTGTCCGTCTGGTTTATTCCGTGCATGTGGAAACGGAAGCTGTGCAGTCCAGAAAAATAAAAGGAAAGTCATGAAAACGCGAAGTGTTGGGGGAAAAAATAAAAGCAAACCTGTACGGCAAAATTGGTGAGAAAACGCTCTTCAGTTGCCAGAGGGCCGCCTCTCACGGCGGGCAAGCGGACAGATAAAAGACGTTGCTAAACTATTCCCGATGTAGCATTTTTCCATGTTCCAGCTAAGGATTCGGTCTCACTTTGCACATTCGGAGAGTAGTCCAGCGAGACCCTCAAACAACTGGCTTTTCTTTCTGATTTCGCAACAAAAAAAACAAAAAAAAAAGGAGATCTAATCCGTTGCACGCTAAATATTCCCGACGGCAAATTCAGTATGTACACCCCTGAACTGTTGAAATACAGATCCGAGTTCTGTGAGATTTTTTTTATTTTTTATTTTTTTTTGGTTCTTTGAGATCTGATCCGTTGCTCATGCGCTGTTTCATGTGGCCGACCGCTGTTTCACGTGGCCGACCACCGGCTTGTGATGCGAGAATAGGGGCCTCGCTAATCCGTTTGCTTTTTTTTTTCTTTTTTTTTTTTCGGAAGAATATGGTTGGCCGTTTCTAATGTGCTCCCCGTGAGAGACGGGGAGCAATCAATGCTTCCATCGTTTCTTTTTTTTTTCTCTCACGCTGCCATTTCCATAATGCATCTGACTGCATTTCTGGCCACCCTGAGCTGATTCAAGAGTGAAAACGGCTGTTCCATTCCGAACCAGCTGCATGTCCAGCATTAGGGGCGGTCCCTGTGCCATTCAGAAAATGTCCCCTACATGTTCCCGCCCCCTCTTTGCCCGACAAAGCTTGGCGAGCAGGGGCATATTCAGGCTCGGCATCAATAGCCGGGCCAAGTACTGATGGTTTAAAGCAACATATTCCAATCTCCCTATGTCAAAAAAAAAGTGGCGTCATGCGTGGAAAACAATGACACTAAAACTGCACTAGTCACAGATAACGCCGTAGGGCTGCACCCTGTGGCCGTTCCTCGAGGGGTTGCCTTCGTGTGTGCGTTCAAGGTACGTCATGCAGTTCTGCATGATAAAACGCCATGCTTAAAACACAAAAAAATCCAGGATCTAGGCCTAACAGTTAGTCCCTATCATGCACCTAGTTGGTCCACTGGTTTAACACAACAACACACAAGACAAGAAAAAAACAACCGACAGCTAATAAATGATCAAACAAAAGGCAAGAACGGAAAGCAGTTAGACAAAACATAGGCTGGAGGGCATTAGGGGAAGGCAGGCGGCCAGACAACATCAAGCACACCGGGCTGGGAAAGGACAACAAGGAGAGTAGGCTGGAGGGCAGTGAGGGAGGTGGGAGGTTAGACAACATACAAACCCACAAGGCAGGGAAAACACAACAAGCGACTTAGGCAGCAGGCGCTCCCGGACATCTAATCCAGCTACCTAGGGAAATTTGGCATTACGTACTTGGACAAACCTGTGTACATGACTCTGCAGGAACCATTTCCATTGGTGGAAACATGAAACTGCATGACCACAAACAGTGAACAGTTCCACATGTATTCCGTTTCTTCTCATCAAATTTTCGTAGATTACATGATGTTCTCTGCAATGTTACTGCCTTGGTTCTTTCTTGCTCAAGTTCAGGACGATCATCAGTGCTTAAAGGTCCTTGATAAAAATCGATAGGTAATTGTTTCTTCAAGAAATCGTTGAGAACCCTTTGTCCACCATCCCCTGTAAAATCATTCTCATGACACCAGATCGACTTTGCATAGGGCGCATTCTTTCACTTAACAAGGTAGTACAAATCCTGCATTCAAAAACAGAAGCCACAAATCACAGTTATTTTATTTCCATTTGCAATGTGTTAATGAAGGTTTTTTTATCTGCATTATGGTTAAGTTGTCAAACAATGACACTAATTTGTATGGTTGTTCCTGACCCGGACAACCAGACACCGGGTCCGTGTCTCGATCAAACCGGACGTCCGGTTAACCGGACATCAAACCGGACATCCAGACATCCGGACCCGGACAGTCCGGTTTGCTGTGTCGGTGTCCGGTTGTCCGGATTAAAAAAAAAAAACAAGGAAAAAAAAAAAAAACAGAGAGCTTAAATGCGCGAAGATTCCATACAAATAAGAGCGAAGCAGTGAACTCGTGTGCCAATGCCATCGCCCTCAGGCCCCACCAACACAGTATCCAATGTCGCTCATCTTTGTCTGACGTCATCGCCCTCCAATCCTTCATCGCCCTCCCATCCTTCATCGCCCTCCCATTCATCATCGCCCTCCCATCCCTGCTCGCCCCTCCCATCCTTCATCGCCCTCCCATCCCAGGTCGCCCCTCCCATCGGCCAGACCCTCCTCCCACGTCACAAAAGTGCACAGAATATGAGCGAGGGCAATAGACAGAAAATCAAGTTGCAAAATCATGCAGAAATCCAAATAGTCATGTACCAAGCAGAGAGCTCAAATGCACCAAGATTCTATCCAAATAAGAGCGAAGCAGTGAACTCGTGTGCCAATGTTATCACAGAGAGGGCCTTTTTAGGGCCTGTCCGGTTGGGCAGTCGGTTCTCAAAAAACATTAGCATTATTTTTCCAAGGTACCCCAGGCCCAGGTAAACGGCCCGGGAACCCCCAAAAAAAAATTCGAAATTTTCGAAATTGGGGTCCAACCGGACCCTCCGAACCAGACACCGCACTCGGACACCGGACACCGGACTGTTTGGATTGGGATCCGGACGTCCGGTTGGTAACCATGCTAATTTGGTATATTGTGTTTGAGGATGTTAATAAAAGTACTTGCCTCATTGAATGTTCGGGATTCAATAATGTACTCTGCATTTGTCATTCGTGCCCATGTCTTGAACCGTGTGCGAGATGCAACTGGTTCTTTGATATCTGGCACTGTGACTTCAATTTCTTTGTCCCAAACTTGATCTGTTGTGTTATCTTTGGCTTCAACCTCGTTCTCAGATTGAGGAAGATGCTTTGAGCACCATCTTCTTCCTGGATCCGGAGTTTCGGGGCAGCCTTTGACAATCGCACCAATCGCCGTCTGATACAAGTCAACATCATTGTTTGCACAACGCGATCTGCACACTTTGAAATGACCATCGAGTTGACAATATCTTCCACAGAGCTTGTCGTTGCAGTTCTGTGGATGGATGAGTGCTTCCTCCAGTAGATGATACCAGAAAGCATCTTACACCTGCGTCATTAAAATAAGCACCACAGTGAGTATCTATTTCACTTGCAAAGTACAGAAAAAAGTAGTCATGGCTTAGTACAAAATCGTTGATCAAACGATTGACAAACGTATGACAACCTCCTTCCTGGTTCCTCTAAACTCTTGCTCTTAATTTTTTTTCTGTTTTTGCCAAACCCCGCAAGCAACTCTAATCACGCCTTAAACATCGGCCATCACCCCCCAACACTGAATAACCCACAAGGAATACAAAAATACTTGCCAACTACGGCATCTGAACTACGTTTATCACACTGGGACAGGAGGTGAGAAATTTTTGTATGTGAGGAACGTTGCTCATCGTGTTTCCTGTGGTCAAAAACCTAGGTTATCGTTGAGCAATAATGGTTTTGGGGCATAGGAGGGTGTTAAAAAAAAAATAAAAAAATTTTAACCCTTGCATTGGTATACCCCTCGGCCCTGGGCAACCTTAACCCCGACAACACTAACCCCCGCAATCCCGGCCCCACAACAGCGGCCCCAACTGCCACCATCCTTACACCACACAGCCTTGCAACCCCTCCCCTGCAATCCCCCCTGAGCAACGCCAGTCTCCCCCACACCCTCGCAGGGTTGGGGGGTCCCATCGTTGGACCCCTGGATCCCCGGACAGGGACCCGAAGAAAAACTCACTCCCCTAACACACCCCCCCCACCTCCTGAACCTCCTTCATAGTACCCCTTTACAACCCCCCAACAATTCCCCCCTGAAACAGTCCCTAAATAGCCCGCAAAGCATACACAAACACCCGACAACCAGCAAACTTGAACCACGCACAGACCACCACCAAACACCCTCCCACCATCCCCCACAGGGCTTGAACCTTCGCCACACCAACAAATTCAAACAATTTTTTTTAGTTATTAAATTACAAGAAGGGAAAGAAGAAATAATAATTGAAGTTATTAAAATTACACGAAAGGGAAAAAAGAAATAAAAAATAAAGTTATCACCTGTTCCAAAATGTTGTCGTATGGCATTGCGTAGTTGAGGTGTGGAATAAGATGTTGGGCATGCTTCTGTAAAAACAGGGACACCCTCCAACCGAAATACGCTTCTTCAAGTCTTTGACGATTTAAACGGTATCTTTGTGTCTGTTTCTCCTTTGAAATATCACGCTGAAAGTTACTAAAACCAAGAAATCTGGTCAACCCTTCTCTATCGTTGTGAACTTCGGCTGTTGTTTCAAATCCAGAATGAAGTTTATACCTGCAGAACAACCACATTTGAATAAAAGGATGAGAAATTAGATAAAAACAAATTTTGTTGAAGAGGACGAGGATTATATCAAAGGGGAACAATTCTTCAAACACTCTGAAAAAAGAAGAAATAAGGAAAAGTCTAGGGGGGCTAGTAGACGGACAAGCAAGTGAGAACAGGTACCAAGGAGGTAGGATTTTTTGTGATGGCCTAATGATGTGCGGCCTAAGGGACTGCTAGGAATGCCTTCCCAACTTCTAGATCTTGGATGGAAGTTTTTACTTCCTATGGCAATGGGCAATTTATTACTCACAGCTTCTTTTCAACTTACATTATTTGAACTTTTATAATACTGATTTTTTGGATTTTATCTATACTATATGTATATAATATCTTATATCTATATCTTTTCTCTATTCTATGTTTACTTGTATGAGTACATCGCAGTACCAGTGCATTCATATAGGCTTACAGATGCGGTTGAGTGCAGATTTACAGTTGAGGCCGAATGCAGATTTGCAGTTGAGAGTACATAACATATACAAGATAGGACGAGAGTATGAATACATATATAGGATGCGGATCTAAGCTACCAGCCAGGTGGCCCAGGTCATCTTGCTTGCCAGGGCGACCCAACCGTGCAAGGACCAAAGATGGTCCCGGAAAAAAAAAAAAAAAAAAAAAAAAAAAAACATGTTATGCAGAAAAATAAATTGTGCAACGTTTGCCTCAGGGTCGCATCGAAATTCTTTACCTTTTTTCTTTTTGACCAGCCGAGCAAGTGTCCCGGGCCACTCTGGTAGCTTAGATGCAGATAATACAGTAGACGAATGTAGACTTACACAGATTAGCTGATATATACAGTAGATCATATATATGGATGTGGCAGTTGACTGAGGGGGAAACGAACGATCCAGCCATAATCCTGCGAGGACTGATGAAAGTCAACAGGCCAAAACCTGAAAAAATGATGGTAGCAGAGGTTATCAGAGCATCGGTGTTATGGGCCATTTGGACCCTGTGCAACAAAAGTTGTAGACAAGGACCAACCACGCCGCTGAAGACATATAAAAAAAGAGCAATGGAGAATATCAAGATAGGTCTCTTAGCGGATCTTCACCGCTGCAGGCACGCCGGGGAGGGAAAGGAAAATAGGCTTTAGGAAAGATGATGCCCGTACACACAACTGCTGATCCGGGGACACACAGACAGGCCAAATGCAGTTTGGCCTTCTCTTGGTGCGCCATGTACCTCGACCGGACAATGAGATATCTTTAGTCGTCCACATAGCTAGAACTAGCAACATAGGCCCCATGGGCAGAACCTGATTTGTATAATTATAACTAGGGGAAGGGGTAAAGAATGAGGATTGTACTATATTGGGGGAACAGGGTAGGGTAGCCGAGGATAAAGGAGGAGGATAACACAATAGAGGGATCTGAAAGACGTGGGAGAAGAACATGAGTATAGGGGAAAGTGAAGATCAAAATAGAAGAAGACAATCAGGTGGTGGTTGTCGGATCCTCCCGCTGCGTGACTGGGTGCTGCCAGTAAGCTTCCCGACCAGCAGGAGCAAACCTAAAGGATGGTTAAAGTTTGGGGGGTGGGATGCTCAGTAGCAGTCCGTCCCTTGTACAGGGGACCAGTATTGCAAGGGCAAGGTCGACCGCTTACTAAACTCCTCTTTTCTTTTTCTCATGCTTGCTGGTAATAAGTAATCGAACTCATGCCCCCAAAAATAGAAAGGGCCTTGTGTGTTTTTCTGTATAAAAAAAATGGAAAAAGAAAAGGAATGCACTGGTACTGGGATCAGAAATCTTACAGTAGTTCATCATGTTGACGAAGAATTGCCAAACTGACGACAGTCTTGGAGTTAACCTGAAACCAACTTCAGCCTTCATCTGTTGTCTCATAAAACCTCCGCTCAGAATTCCAAAGTGTATAATATCTAAAAGAATAGTCAATGGAACACAAATTGCATTTTTTCTCACAAATCGTATCCCTTCCGGGAATTCCTTGCATCGGATAGAAGAACGGCAGCAATTGTTTCGTGCTGAATTCAAGTGCACTCTTGCATTCAACACATGATTTGATCGCTGGTACGAGAACATATTCTGAGTTCGCAATATGAAGAGCATGATCAGCAGCAAGGACATGAGTCATGAAAAGACTGTTGTCATGAAAGTTCAACTTCTCAATCACAACTCTAATTGTATGCTCCTCATACTTCTTGTCTCTCCATGAATTTTCACGGCAGTTCATGACATTAGCAATGCGTGGACATAAATCAGGTAGATCATGTGGAAGAGCATTGCAAATCTGTATCACTTGAATAACATCAACAAGGCTCATGGGTTTAATGAGCTCATCCATTAACGTCCTTGGAAGTGCTTACAGTCAATAGCAACTTGTTCGAGGATTGAGAATCAACAGCCTGCAAACAGACAAATATTCACAGACATACAAATACACACACACACACACACACACACACACACACACACACACACACACACACACACACACACATACAAACACACAAATACACACACATGCATACACACATGCACACACATACAAACACACATGAGCGCACATAAAGACACATACAGACACACACGCAGATACACACACACAAATAAATTGTTAAAAAAAATATATTTTTTTAATAAAAAAATCACATGCATACATACAGGCGCGCGAACACACACACACACACACATCCCCTTATGGCTGGCAATGCAGGCCAAAAAGTTCTGGGAGGCTGGGGGAGGCAGAGGCCGCAGACCTCCTCAAGAGTACCGTGGTGGACAAATTCGATTTCGTCATCAAAATTTGTCAGGGAGACTTATTAATGGTTTTAAATGAGGAAAAAAAAAAACGATACAGATACCGTAACCCCTCTGTGTTATTCAAGACCCATTGTAGTACTTAACTAGGCTACCAGCCGGGCCGCCTGGGTCACCTTGTTCGTCTGGGCGGCCTGCCCGTGCAAGGGTCAGGGAAGATACAAAGGGAAAAAACAATTCTAAAGGATCTCAAAAAATTGTTAAAAAACTATATTGAAACAGACAAAAAGGTCAGCAAGATTGCAGATGAGGTAAGAATACAACAAGAAAGTACATGTTGTCGATACTGCAAGGAACATGAATGTGGATGAAGCACTGAAATCCAAATTGCAAATCACGTTGAAGTCCAAGTAGTCAAAGCAAGAGCAGAAAGCACAATGGAACCAAGATAACCATCCATTTGAGAACGATACAGCAGAATCGTGAGTCAATGTTCATGTCTAATCGGGTAACACCAACAACATAACCCAATGTAGCTCTATCTGTTGAATGGCGCCAGGTGCCCTATCTACTCTACAGCCTGTTCCTACAACTACAGCATGGAAGCAACCAGACAACTTGATGACCAGCGAGTGATGACGTCAACACCAATGCCGACCTCCTCTCCACTAGGTACGTCTCTCTCTTCTCCCTCACTCTCCCTTGTTATCCCACACAGCGCCCTTCACCTTCCGAAGAACCACCTTCGCCCTCACCTCCTCCAGCGCTCTCATGCAGCCCGGCTATGGCTGCCAGCGCCCTGCGCCCAGGCTGCGCCCTACCGCTTAGCGTCATCCTGCCGCCTCCCAGCCTAGCGCAGCGCAGCACCCGCTCTTGCAATGCAGCAGCGTGCCGGCCTTGCTCGCAATGGCCAAGATCCTGACTCACTCGCCCGCTCTGCCTACATGCCAGTGTCGCGTGTGAGCGACCTACCTTGAGCCTGCGTCTGGGTTCCAGTATCTGCGCCCAGGCCCAATGCAGATGGGGCCCAGGTAATACAGTTGCGCCCCTTATGCTAGGACCGTTGTCCAGATTCAGACTGTCTGTGTCGCCAAGATCCCGGCTCACTCGCCCGCTCTGCCTATATGTTAGTGTCGCGTGTACATTGAAAAGACGTCAATGATGATTACTGCATTGTCTGAGTTCTCTATCTACTTCTTTCGGGACTGCCTTGAACGTGAGACACTTGTATTCGAAGTTGATGGTTGCTTCCTTTTCCTGTTCTCTCGAAGACTTTCAACCATATCAACCTCAACACTACTAAACTCTGGCATATTCTTTGCCTCCCGACCAGCCTTCTTCTGTTTGAGTTGTTCATTATGTCGTTGAACTTGTCGAGTTTGCTTGTGCTGCGATGTCGTTGCTTGACTTCCCTTGGAAGTTCGTATGTGTCAAAGGATATCATTCTTCTCTGCCGATTGTGAGCCACTTTGTGACCTGAGGTCTTCAACGATAACTTTATCTCCATTGTTCACTTGTGATGCTTCACCTTGAGGGTGTTGAGCATCTACAATATTTGTGTCTTTATTGACATCAGCATCAAGCTCATTTTGTGTTGATCCTTCTCGCTGTGACTGTTGAACATCTTCATCATCTGCAACATTTTTGTCTTGAAGTTCATGGGCGTCAGGTTCAAACTCGTTTTCTGCTGATCGTTCTTCTTGTGACTCCCGACGATCTGCAACACTTTCGACATGAGTTCCAACCTGCTTTTCTAGTGATCTTTGTCGCCGAACTTCAGCAATGTCCTCATCCTCATCATTTGCAACTTGTGTTCTTGTAGATACTTTTTTGCAACCCGGGTTATGCATGTCTGTTGGCTCAAATTGCTCTTCATTGGCCTCTTTTTCAGTTGCAGCCTCTTTTTCCACTGCAGCCTCTTCTTCAACTGCAGCTTCTTCTTCAGCCACTGCCTCTTTTTCAAACGCAGCCTCTTCTTCAGCTGCAGCCTTTGCAAAATCCTGATCGTCATCTTCATCAAATCTTGATAATTGGCTATAATTGCAGAACAGTGTCGGTTCTTTTTCATTTGGCCTGCTCACGGACACACGAAGTCATTCAATGCAAAATGGAGTTAGTCCAGATGCTTTGATCCCAAACAATAAGCTATTCCAAAATTTTCAAGGACGAGAGAAATTAAAAATATTAATTAGACATAAGCTAGGCTGGTCCCCAGGCGGCCCGGCTGGGGGAAGATCGCTTGGGTACCCTCCCAGGCGGCCTGGGTCGGGCAGGGTCCCGGGCAGCCCCAGGCGGGCCAGGCCCCAAGCGCATAATATTAAACAATTAAAATTTTAAAAATTTTAAAAAAATCTGAAAAATAAATATGTTGTGTAAAACTGCAGCACAAGCAACTTTTGCCTGAGAGTCGCCTCAAAATTCCTTATTAATTTTAAGATAAAAAAATAAATGAGGAGAAATGAGGTAAGATATACCCTTTTAAACCCCTCTAGTCACTGTTTAGAGTAACTTTATACGCCCCAAACACCCATGGGTGACCCACCACCGAAATGGAAGGTAAGGCCAGATTCTGACTGCTCATGTCAAGCGCAGTCCTGTCCTGAATTCAGTTTCTTTTTTGGGGGGATCCTTCCCTCTTTATTTACCTGCCTGGTTTTTCCAGGTGATCCCCCCCGGCCCAACTGGCCCGGGAATGCCTGGTCGGGTGGCAGCCCAACCTAGGACATAAGAGCATAGATACAATAGAAATAGTATAGTAACTGAAAGCATGCAAGCAGTCAGGAATGCCAATAGTTACCTACGACTGGGGTAAAAGAAAGCTAGAAGGTACCATGAAATATGTCCAAGAAGGATACTAGATAATTCCTACTTCTGAACTAAGAAAGGCGACCCAGACATGGAAGTGATGCTCGAAGACATATCTAATTGGGCTACTAAATATTAAAAGAGCAATGATCATACAGAAAGGTCAATGTCTATCAGAAGATTTTTTTTTGAAAAAGAAAGAAGTTCTGACACTGCAGTTACATCTGCACAGTCTTGCCGAGCGGACTCGGAGTACATGAGAAAGAGGTCCAACAGCCTCGAAACGGCCACACAAGTTAACACAGAGTTTAACAGAGTCACACAAATCCAAACAACACTGCGAAAGGATTGACAAACAGGACGTGCCCCCTGAGCATCCATGGGAAGACCTCAAATACTAAGTGGATGTCAAGTACCGGATGGATTTGCAAAGAATGAGACGCGAGATGCAGCAAGAGTCGTACAAGAAATCAGAAACGGTTGACAAATTCGAGTGCGAAGTTTTGGTAAATGGGACGCTGCGTATTCTAGAAGGCAATATGCTCAAATACGTGTGGTGGTCTGGTTTAAGGGAAGCATTGTCCGGGGGCTCCTTGACAGAACTTCATTCCAGAGATCGTGGGTTGAGAGTACAGGCAGTAAACATAATGTCAGACTACCAGACCAACTTTGTAAATAAGAAAAAATACGAAACAAACTACGCTGTCAATTATCCAATCTTGAGACGTCTTCCCGGGACATCTCCGAGAGACGATCAATGGGGGAGTTGTCCGGGATCCCGAACAACTGTTTTTTCACAAATTCAAAGCAAAAAAACAAAACAAAAGTAGGTGTCTGTGCACCTTACGCAGAGCCTCTAAAATTTAGCTCATGTGGAATTCAAGAAAAAATTGTCAAACACCGTGGGAGAGGTGGTTGAGGTAGGTTTAGAGTCCGCACACCAACACATACAAATAGAGGGACACACACACACGCACACACAATCACATAGGCACACACACACAGACACACACACACACACACACTAACACACCAGAGGTGAGGAGGTGTAGAGAATAGTCCTCTGCACCTCTCCACGAGCTCGTCCAGATTCAGGTATTTCACGCCTTAATCTGAACATGTAATGGAGAGGTGCATCGATTGATCAGGAGCCCCTTTTAACCTTTTAGAAAATACCCCTCTCCTACCCATCGAACTCTTTCTTAGTGATGGGAACGGTTCACCCCTTTCCTCTGTAAAATTTATAACACAACCCTTAGTACGGGCTCCTTTCCGGGGTATTTTGTGAGGTACAACAGAGGCATTCTATTGATAGACTCTTTTTTCTTTTGATAAAGAAATAAAGCAAAATTTCCAAAAAAATACAACAAATTTGTGGGAGAATCTATATTCAGTACTGATACGCGGACTTCTACCTCCAGGAAAACATAAACTTACAAAGTCATTGTTGCAGCCACATTCCAATCTGCCAAACTCAATTTGAAGAAATCGTGTAGCGTGTTCAAAAATGTTGTCCTTTTCTCAGGAGACGGGATCTTCTTCTCGAAAACAACTCCGCTTTTTTTTTCATGTTATACTGCGAAAAATTCCCTTCAAAAGCTGCCAATGCAGAAAATGTTAATACCATTATTCAATCTAAGAGATAGTTATATATATTATTCGTATTTATTGACAACGTAGAAGTGCATTGTAAGAATAACAGTAATAAGGTTGTCAAAGATGTGGAGGGTGGAAATCAAAGGGGTTATGGATGGCTTGAGTTGGTTGTCGCTGGCGGGAGACGTGAAAGTGATGTTGGGAGGGGATGGGATCTGGGGCGAGGTAGTTGATTCCGGGTTAGAGATTTCTTCCACTGGTGTGTTTGGTTTGTTTAGTCTCTCTGAACTGTTTCCATATCGACTTTGCAAATGCTAAACATCATTCATTTTTACACACAATAACACCCCAAGCCAAACCAACCTCGCATCCCTACATTTCCACACACACTAGCAGACAGTATATGTAATGATATTCCCGCCTGGTCTCTGATACATAAATACCACTACTGTCTTCACCCGAATACAACATGCGGTCATTATCGTTGTATTTGGACGGAAAGTTGTCCCAAATACACCCATAATGGTCGGGCGTTGTATTTGGGTGAAGACGGTAGGCCTCCAGCTATACACATACACACAGACTGCTATAGAAGATTTGTGGCAGGGTATGTATAGGGTTTAGGGTTTTAGTACAACCAATCACAACAAAAGTCTATCTACAACCAGTTTCTGAGGCTACCCATAGTAGGCTAGTAGGTAGAATGAGTTATCTTGGAAAGCTCACAGCTCAGGGACGCAGAAGCACCAGTGGTATAAATTTTAAAAAAAGTTGACATTAACCAGAAGAAGTGTACAGGGCTAATGAGCAACATGCCTTCGAGCATTTCAATCAGCAAAAAGTTAAGAGTAACATAGAGACAGCCTAAAGGGTGAAGAATAGAGGTACAGGTCAGAGAATATCTGGATAGTAGCAGTAAGTTAAGTTACACAGGCGTGAGACATGGTACATCCTTCCGGAATTGAAGCAACCAATGGAGCCTCTATCACCAATAGAGGTACATCCTCGCAGGGCCCACTAAAAGTGGATACTCATATCACCACCTTAAGTGACAACCTGCAATCAGGTTAAAAAAAAAAAGAAAAGGAATTTGACCATGGTTACGCCGGACCCGGACCCGCACAGAGCATGATGTCCGGCCGGACCTAGGTCCGGAAAGATCCGAACCAAGAAAAAAAAAAAGAAAAAAAAAGTAAATGTTATAGAAAGTATATAGACAGGGAAGTGAATTAGGCCATACCTACCTCAAGGCAGTATACAGCCTATGCCTCTCTCTCTCTCTCTCTCTCTCTCTCTCTCTCTCTCTCTCTCTCTCTGTGTGTGTGTGTGTGTGTGTGTGTGTTTGTCTGTCACACTCTGTTTCTATCTATCTGTCCCTGTTACATACTCCAATGAGTATGGGCAGAACCAAGAATCAACCAATATAGGATGAGTATTTATGCAGTGGAAGTCTGATAACGAACTGACTCACATAGACTGACCTACATGGTCATCACTCCACACACATACAATCATGAGATGGTGGGGTCTGGGTCATGCATAGAAGATACCCAGATCCCGTACACACATGCACAGATGAAAGGTGGGAGGAGAGACGAAGGAGGTAGGAGGTGGATCACACCGATAGGTCACAAGATAGGGTCCGGTAGGTCTCCGAAGTAGTAGTCCAAAATGTCATACAACAAGATCAAAATGTCGARRACCMAAGGTCACCAATGTCGGAGATAACCGAGTCCAGATGTAACCGGTGTCCAACTGTGATGCAGCCGAGTATCAACCTCAACAATCTCCAAGTCTCCAATCAGGTAAGTACCACAGTCTC